ATATTTTTAACATCAGAGTTATAAACAGATATTCACACATCACCTTCCATGAGGTCCCAATTCTTTCTTGACTTTTTTTGGGCATCAAGCTTTTTAAGTTAGCCTACAGAGTGAAGATCATAATTAATCTCTACAGAAAAACAAGTACTTACAAATACATGCTTTACAAAGGATCAAAATAAAATAAAATAAATAAAATAATAAAATAAAATAAAATAAAATAAAATAAATAAAATAAAATAAAATAAATAAATAAATAAATAAAATAAAATAAAATAAAATAAAATAAAATAAAATAAAATAAAATAAATATCCACCTCATCTTTTGTTTGTTTGTTTCAAAAATAATTGCTGCAAAATATGTACATTGGAAGAGTATCTGCCCAGTGTGTCTGGAGTCTGTAGCTAAATCTGCAATTAGTGTGCTGATGAGGCTGGATCTGAAGACAAACTTGCTAACTGAATTCACACTTTCCTTGTTGCAGTGCTCTCCTAGCTATGTCTTCCTGTCAATCTTCCCAAGAATATATGTAAAAAGTGCAATGACATACAATACAGATGCACCCCAAAGCTTTATTCTTTGTCCAGCTGCCCCTGTATGCATTATATAGCTTTCTGACAATGATTTTCAATTAACTTTATTAAGGCAACAAATATGGACTGGGTCCATATAGCAATGCAGGTGTAGCTGCTACAAGAAGAGCCAGGATGTTGTAGTCTATAGAAATGCAAACTTTAACTGAAATTCACAATTAATACCTGAAGTTCAAAGGTGTTCACACTTTGAACACCTAAACTTAGGTCTTGGAAGCACTGCAGAATTCAGGGCAGTACCAAAGACTGGCATTTCAGCTCTTACATCTCTGTCTGAAATGCCCAGATCTAACCTTTCATATATTAGTTATTTGGCTTTTCATGGCAGAAATTTTAACAAATGTTATGTGATGCAATAAAACACTAACAAAAGCCTTCCTTTATGCACTAAGATACCTCTGTTGTAACATGAAAGAATTTATAATGGATTGAGTCTTTCATACCCAAAATCACAAACATTTAACTGTCATTTTAATGTGTCCCAGATGAGTATTCCCAAGGCCATGTGCTAATGGTGTTTTTACTGTTATATTGTAAAAGCATAATTCTTTTTGTGAGACATTAATATTTCACTCTTTCTCTAAACTGGTTTTCAGAAGGCTGATAGCTTAATGCTCAGACTGTTTCTCAGTGAGAGTTGAGTTTTTGGCGTCTCTGGCTTTTGGATGTGTTGCTGAGGTCTGCCTGGGAAACCATGCAAACCTGCTAGCAGCAGAGGTATTTTCTGTGGAATTAATTTTGAATGTGAAAGAAGTCATTCACATATTGATAAAGCTGTTCCCAGGCTTTATGTGTCATATTCCAGTCACTTCCCCAATCCTGACAGCCTATTCACTGGGATGAGCTAAGACTTATTTCACTGAGCAGTCACTGTAAAACAGAACAGATTTGAGACATGCTTTTTTTTAATCCAGACTCTGTACCAAATATTTGCTTTTTTGGATTTAATACAGATGTGAAATAAAGTTTATCACAAGTAGGATTTGGGCCTTCGTGCTTGTAATGGTTTCCTGCTCCCATCTGACAAAATATTGATAATATCGAAGAACGTACCAATCAATATAACCTTTATTTCTGTTATCCCTCTTTTCTGTTTAAAATTCCCAAATGTTCTACCTTAACATAAAAGTTTCATTCTGAATCCCACCAGACCAGGGGAACAGCTGTTCTTTTCTCCCCTGTAATTCTACTGAAGTTAATTAAGTTCTTTCTCATAACTAAAACTTGTAGACACCTAAAATTAACAGCTACTTTAATTCTTCTGTGTGTCATGTTTCATTGTAATTTGCCTTCTGGAAAGACACTAGTCAGTGACTTCACTCCAGCCTAGAAGACTGGCTCCTGTTTTTTGAACTGATGTCAGTGTTACTTCTCTGCCTGCAAAGGTCAAGTCTCTTTGTTACACCCTAAGGAGACGCTCCACTCATCCTCAGCAGACAGAATGTCCAAATGCATTAATCAAAATGATCAAGTACTGCAGCTTTTTGGTCTTTAACCATTCATAGCACTCTACAAATTGGGGAAACCTGAAAAACAATGAGGTTTAAGGACATACAATGTAGACCAAAGCCTGATTCGTGAATCTCCCCATAATGTGGTGAAAAGGAAATGAGCACTTAGTTTCATATGTGCATTCAAAATGGATGAGTTCACATTTATGGACAACATTAGCCTAATTTCAAGGACTTCCATAAGATTTAAATGATGAGTAGACCCTGTGGTGACCCTGAACAGGAAGGTGATTTTTCTTTGTTTGCTATATTTGACTGGTGATTTAATATGACAATAAGGATGATCTTAAAATTAGTTTTCACACATGCAAAATAATGCAACTTAGGAGAAGCATCACAAAGCCTTAACAGAAAAGAGTGATGCCAATGTTAATCATACAAAACAAAACAACAACAACAAAAAATGTCGGGCATGATTTGTCTTAGTGTTACCTAAAGACACAGGGTAAACTCTACTGGAAAACCTAAGCCCCATTATTGAAAAATTAGTATGACCATAAATCCAGCTCAGATTTTATTTTCCTTTTTTCACAAACATATTGGATAACAGATTTTGCCCAGAGGCACATCTAGGAAGGACTTAAACCACATTTATACAACTCTGAGTACCACTGGGTGAATATATTTATATATATACACATATACACATATATACATATATATATATATATCATATATATGTTTATTACATGTATATATAATATAATATTATAATATATTATGATATTATAATAATATGTTAATATAATGTATGTTTTTATATATATTATGTATTGTATTGTAATATGTATTGTATTATATTATATTACATTATATTATATTATATCACTTCAAAAATTCTTCCCTACCTGCCCATGGACATACGGGCCTCAGGTTTCACAGAAAGTTGGTAAAGACAGTAAGTTAGAAAAGTGACCAGAACTTTTTTAACAAACAGCTAAGTGATTAGATGCATGAAGAAGATAACAAAAGAAATAGACATTTTCATCCCATAGACACAAGGTACCATGCACTTTCTAGTCCCACCAGATGAAAAAATATAATTTGCAGAGTCTGAGAGAATAAAGTACTGGTTTGAGATCACCTAAGGAACCTGAATGTGTACAAGTCCATGAGATCTGATGACATGAATCCAAGGGTCATGAGGGAATTAGAAGATTAAGTTCTTATTTGCTATACTTGAAAAGACATGGCAGTCTGGTAAAGTTCCCCATGACTAGAAGAGGAGAAACAAAACTCCCATGTTTAAAAAGGCAAAAAGGAAGACCTGTGGAACTATTAGCTAATCAGTCTCACCTTTGTGCCTGGTAAAATCATGGAGCAGATCCTCCTGGAAACTGCCATGGCACATGGAAACAGGCACATGGAAAACAGTGACTGGCATCATACAACATGGTTTCACTAAGGGCAAATCATGCCTGACTAATTTGGTGGCTTTCTATGATGAGTTTACAGCATTGGTGGATAGGGAAAGAGCAACTGACAATCTACCTGGATTTGTGCAAAACATTTGGCACTGACCCCCATTATATCTTTGTCTCTAAATTGGAGAGATGTAGATTTGATGGGTGGACCTGTTCAGTAGGCTCAATAGGTTCAATAAGGCCAAGTGTAAAGTGGGTTAGAGCAATTCCAAGCACAAATAAAAATGGGCAGTGAGAGGAGAGAGAGCAGCCCTGAAGCGAGGGAGAGAAGCAGGAGAGGACAGGGAGATGTTGAGGGCGAGGGGAGGGGAGGGGAGGGGAGGGGAGGGGAGGGGAGGGGAGGAGAGGGGAGGGAACTTCTTGTTTCACTTGCTTTTATACTTCCTAGTCTTTCATTTGAGCCGGAGGTGAAAATACCACAGGAAAGGTCTTGCCTTTATTTCAGCAGTGAATCAATCTTGGCAGCAACAGCATTTACACGCTTTGTGTACCATAAAACTAATTAACAGTCAAGGTAGTAATACTCCAGAGAACGCAATGCTAGTGACAAAATTTGCATGTCCTCTGGGGGTTTTTTCTATAACATCTGGTACAAGCCACTAGTAAACAAAGACTGTTCTGTTCCCATATGGGAATTAGTGTGTGTTTGAATCTCAAACTTGTCTTTTGAGGTCACTACTACAATTGACTCATTAAGGGCTAAATTAGGACTCCTACAGGCAGTGCAAAGCCAGAAGAGATACATGCACAAGGGTTGTGCCTCCAGGCTTTAGCTCTCCAAAGGGCTTCAGCCATCATGCCTTCAAACACACTGGCAGCAATAAAGTACTCACTTGTGGTCCTCACTGCCCTTTTTTTATAACCAGTGTTCATTTACACCAGACCTCCAGGTGCTATCTGGTAGACTTGACACTGGATTCATTTTCCTCATCTGAATATGGTCCTTCTTTTATTCAGAGAGAATAATAGAAATGGGTAGGGAAAAAAAAATCCAAACTGCATTATTTTAGATTCTGTAAGATTAATCTAAATGAAATAATGACAGTAAAATGAACAAAATATGAAATGAGAGTATAAGAAGTAGTGCCAAATATAAAGAAAAGTAGGTAGCTGAGTTGGAAAAAATAAATAAAAATAATAAATACCAAGGAGGAGGAGGAGGAGGAGGAGGAGGAGGAGGAGGAGGAGGAGGAGGAGGAGGAGGAGGAGGAGGAGGAGGAGGAGGAGGAGGAGGAGGAGGAGGAGGAGGAGGAGGAGGAGGAGGAGAGGAGGAGGAGGAGGAGGAGGAGGAGGAGGAGGAGGAGGAGGAGGAGGAGGAGGAGGAGGAGGAGGAGGAGGAGGAGGAGGAGGAGGAGGAGGAGGAGGAGGAGGAGGAGGAGGAGGAGGAGGAGGAGGAGGAGGAGAGGAGGAGGAGGAGGAGGAGGAGGAGGAGGAGGAGGAGGAAGGAATGCCAAGAATTACTGGTGTTATTATTTCACTAGGAGGTAAAGTGACAATCAGGAAGGTGAGAGCTTGCCCTCAAAGTTATATATCTGCTTATGTACTGAATTTGGGAAACAGAAGACAAAGTTCATCTTTTATCATTGGAAGAGAAGGACATGGATGAGTCCTTGAGAAGATGTGAACAGCAATAATTATACTGCATTGGTCTTCACTCCAGGCATATGAGGTAAATAGTTTTACATAGATGAATGATTTTTCACTAACTCTAGAAAATAGTGGAAGAGTGGGAAAAGAGATAATAATGCCACCCATATCCAGTCAGATACAGGTTTTGTGGACATTCAGTAGCTAGCCTTATTTCACACAGAATCACACAGAATTGTCTAGGTTGGAAGAGACCTCAAAATTATTGAGTCCAACCTCTGACCTAACACTAACAAGTCCTCCACTAAATCATATTGTTAAGTTCAACATCTAAACGTCTTTTACAGACCTCCAGAGATGGTGACTCCACCACTTCCCTGGGCAGCCCATTCCAATGTCTCACAACCCTCTCAGTAAAGAAGTTCTTCCTAATATCCAACCTAAAACAACATTAGGCCATTTCTTCTGGCCTAAGATGGTATCTAGAGATTTAATATGATGACATATTTTGTAGTTGAATGTGACTATGGGTTCTGTTGTCTGGTCTGATTCCTTGGTAGTTCACCAGAATGTTACTTTCTTAGAATTTAGTCGCCTATGCTTATAGATAAAAGACCCACCTCTTCCAAGGATATCTGATTTACCTAACTAGGATAAATGAGTTAAAAGGAGATTTAAATTGTCCTCTCTACTCCCCTCAGCCTGCAGGTACAATTAATTTAATTCACAATTCTTATTTTAAAAGAATAGTTTAGATTTGAAAATATTTAATTTTACATTTCTTTAGTTCTGGCAACTGAAATATGCAAATATAGTTTATTTTGATGTTGATCATTTGTTTTTATTAAAATAGTCTGATACAGTAGAAAAATGAAATTGCAGGTACAAAGAATAACACCACATCTGAAAAAAAGAAAATTCATTCAAAATTTTGTAGTGAGCTTCTTCTGTGTAGAATTGATTGAAGTATGCCTGAAGGAAGTAACATACAAATACATTCTTATTTAATATAAATTAGTTTGGAATATATTTGCCAACAGCTTATCATAAGCAGCTGATAATTTAAATTTATTTTATTTTTATTGGACCCATAGTGTTCGCTTAGTAACCCAGTTAGATCAACATTGCTCTAACATTCCTATTATATTGAAAGATGCAGAATGAAATTTAACAATTTTCTTGAAAGATATATCCATTATTCATAGCTGCTAGCTGAATTTTCATTGAATAAATGATTGCAAATTTGTAGGTAGTCTTTGAGTTACTCACTTAATATATTATTCATGTGGGTTAGGTTTCCATTTCTTCATTGGATGACACTATTACTTAGAACAACGGACAGCTAGTATGTCATAACAATATGCTTTCTTAAAGTGTCTGACAGTATTACACTGACATGTCAACATTCATAAATATTGTATGTTCATAATCAAAATATGGGAAATACAATATCCTGACAAGAACAGTAGGGAATTAAATAGGTTTTATTCACTAGTAACAAACTTGTTATCATTATTTTTATTACTGAAGTTTAACCGTTTGACTAACTGATGAAAAAGGCTACCCATTTAAAATGAATACATGGAGGGCAGGAAGAAGGTCCCACAAACAGAGCATAAAATAAATTTGTGGAGCTCAATGCCACTGGACATTACTGAAAGTAGTAAAATTCAAAAAAGATTTGATAATTATGAATAAAATTAGCATCTGTAGTTACACCAAGCTAACTAGAATAAAAATAATATGATGATTACTATGGCAATCAATCCATATGCTCCAGTGTATAAAATAATAATTTTCTGTTGTCAGAAGAAAACTTATCCCTTTACGCAGAAGCATCAAACAACAGGTGATGTAACAGGTGATAACCTTCTTCAGAAGAATGTTAGTTTAACCTCTAGCAGAGACAAGAAACTGAGCAAACAAGGCTGTTCCTTATTTTCCATATAACAATACCTAACATCACCAACAAATACCCAAAATAAAACTAAATGGTACAAACAGACAACTCTTATTTCACTAAGACCTGAATCTCAAAAATTCAAGTCTGCTAATTTCCCCAGATTTTAAGCTTTTGGTAAGATAAAGAGAAAATAACTAACTAACTAAATAAATAAATAAATAAATAAATAGATGAATCACTTTAGACTCCCAAATTTGTTACCTTTTTACTTTCTTATATATTTTATTTAAATTTGGTAGCAGACTAATGGTATTTTTTATGATTCTATGAAGAGGGTTGATTTAGATTACATATTAGGAAGAATTTCTTTACTATGAGAGTGGTAAGGCACTGGAACAGGTTGCCCAGAGAAGCTGTGGATGCCCCCTCCCTGGAAGCGTTCAAGGCCAGGTTGTTCTTGGGCAACATGGTATAGTAGAAGGTGTACTTTCCCATAGCAGGGGTGTTGGAACAAGATCGTCTTTAAGGTCCTTTCCAACACAAACCATCCTATGATTCTATTGTTTTATTATCTAACATAAAACTCTAAATCAAAATTTCACACATCAGAATACAGATCTTAAGTCAAAACTAAAGCTTTCCCCACACCAGCCAGACAGCAGATGTCTCACCCCTACTGTACATTTCCAGAAGGCAAGTATGCAACATAGCCATTGCACTTTGTGCATTCAACTTTTCTTTGACAACCACACATGCATAGTTATTTTTTAATTATGAGATCTCTCTTTCCCTTATGCAGCTTCACTCTATAGGTGGATGTAGACACACGTATAAAAACACACAAGGAAAAAAGGAAGAGAAAGAATAGGTCTCATACTCCACATCAGAATTTTTCTGTGTGTGTTTTTTGTTGTTGCATGGTTTGGCATGATTTGGTTTGTTTTGGCTTGATTTGGTTTGGTTATGAAGTACTAAACAGAATACAGGGCAGCTCTACAGTAATACTGACCACCCAGAGGAACTTCAAGATCATGATAGAATTCAGCTTTGATTTATGACATCACAATACCAACCAAGCTTATAGTAATTTGCTACTTACTAAGAAATGTAATTGTTTTAGAATATTTTGGAGAGTTCAACAAACTTAATTTATTTTACTGGGAATATTCAATAGCAAATATTAACAACAGGTCTTGAGTCTTTCTGACTGTAGTCTTATATACACACATTTTCAGATAAAAGGAATAATATTTGGTGTTTATAAAGGTGAATCTTGCTGAGAAAATTATTCCCACAAATCTCCTAGTAATCATGCTTTTCATTTACAAGTGGCAGAATTTCTACCGTTCCAGTTCAGTCAGGTCAAATCCTGGCCTGTTCTATAGACTCTTTTTGCAATTCCACCTTGGGCAAAGGATCAAGAAAATCATCTTACTCTGCAAATATGAGGAAAAAAAAGCAACATGCTTTCCTCTTTTCCACCATTTTCCACATAAATCGTAAAGATTAGACATGTCATCTTATTGAAATATCAGTGTAAAGGAAGCTTGTACTGCAAGCTCCTTGAGTTGTGATTGTTTCAAAAGTAAGACACAGTAAAACTCTTACTATTTGGGACAATAAAAATATAATATATGTATTAAAATATATAAGTGTATATATTTTAAATGCATGTGTGTGTGTGTATATATATATATATATATATATATATATATATACACACATACCCAAAAATATATACTTGTGTATAAGTATACATTTATATGTATATACTTTATATATACATATAAAAATTCAGATTCCCAAAGTGACAGTCTGGAAGATCAATCTCATTCTCTAAGTTTTACTCAGAGGATAAGGAATACAAATCCTTGTATGCATCTCTAGATGCAATTATCCACAACTGTTCTCAGCTGCAGGAGAATTCTGAGAGGTACACTCATCAGAAGAACAGATTTTGACAAGGTGCTTTGATACACAATGCTTTTGGTTAGTGATGACCTGAATGAAACAGTTTTCAGATTCCTCTGTAGTCTGATTTGTTAAACCTTGCTTGTTCCCCACGTGTTCTGTTTGACTTTACAGATGTTTGATCTGCCTTTTTTCTCTTTGTTTTTAGTTTTCCATATGGTTTCTTCAAACTCCTTTTTGATTCGTCATACTGAATACCTACCCACCACCCCCATATTCACTAGATTTTCAGAATAATTCAAGAAAGGATGATTTCAAATGCACAGTTCCACTCTAAAGACACCAAGAGGTAAATTTTCAGTACAATGCACAGAGATTTAGATGCACAGCACTTGTTAACAATAATGGGACTCATGCAGCTAAATTCCTTCACACCAAGCTGAAAATATAACCACAGTTCTTTCTCTGAATGAAAATTTCATCATAAGGATGTTTAGTCCTGGAACTCATTGGCCACACATAATTACTATCATAGTATCAGTGTTGCAAACTTGCAGCTGGTACCTAGACAACATAAGTCAATGGCACTCAAAATGTTCTGGTCTTCCAAGTTTAAAATAAGTTTAGGAAAGATAGTGTAATGTTTTATTAAGACATTTTAGAGTACTACATGATTTCATACATATCCAACTCCCAAGGAAAAAGAGAGTGGTACAAAATCTTATGCAGCTTAGGTCAATTTTCTTTATTTAGATCCTCACCTAGAAAAGTGATCTACTTGGTCAAATACCAGGACTATGCTTTATGTGAAATCAGCATGAATGCACAGATTGATATCTGTTTTGCCTGTACTTAATGATACTGCAGTGGAATAAATTGGTGTCTAAAATTTAAACAATGAGGACTGGAAGGAAAGTACCCTCCTTGTGCAGTTATTTCCTGCGTGTTAGATAGCAGTTAAGGTCAGGTTAAATGACATTTTTCAACACTTTTGAATTTGACTGCAGTTTATTAAAAAATGGAATAGAATTCTAGAATGGTTTTGATGGGAAGGGATTATCTGTTCTAATCACACTGCCATGGGCAAGGGCATCTTTCACTAGGTCAGGTTGCTCAAAGCCCCATCCAAATGGACTTTGAACACTTCCAGTGATGGGACATCAACAACTTTGCTGGGCAACCTGTTCTAAACCCCATCATGAAAAATTTCTTCCTTGTTTTCATTCTAAATCTACCCTCTTTCAGTTTAAAAACATTTCCCTTTGTCCTGCCAATACACAACTTGGTAAAAAACGTATTTGTCCATCTTTCTTATAAGCCCCCTTTATAGGTTGAAAGGCCACAATAAGGTCTCCAAGAACCCTTTTCTTTTGCAGGTTCACAACCCCACCTTTCTCTGAGTGTCTCCATTCGTTCTCAGAAAGAGCAGTCAGGTATTGGAACGGGTTGCCCAGGAAGGTGGAGGAGTGACTGTCTCTGGGCTTGTTTAAGGAAAGTTTGGACATGTTGCTTAGGGACATTGTTTAGTGGGTAATATTGGTGGTAGAGGGATGGTTGGGTCAGATGATCTTGAAGGTCTTTTCAAACCTTCAACATTCTATGATTCTATGATTAAATGAGGAACTGTATCAGAGGCCTTACCAAAGTCCAAGTAGATTACATCAATTCCTTGTCCACTGATTCAATCACTCCATTGCAGAAAGCTACTAGATTAGCGAGGCACAATTTGAAATTGGAAACCTGGCCTCAAAGGAAAAATTCAAAAGAGATGACAAACCTAAAAAGGAACTGCTTGCAGTATGTTACAAGTAATGAAAAAGTAAAGAAAAGGACATGGACAGGTTTTCCATAAGAAAGGAAAGAAAAATCTTCAAAATACAGACCATATAAATAGTTTGCTTTCACAGAATTATCAACTTCTGTATTTATTGTGTGTTTTTTTTGGTAGCCTGTTGATGAACTCTTCAGTACAGTGTCTTCAGAGCAGCAATATCTGTGAAGTGACAGGAAAAACAAGCATAAAGGATAGAAACTGGAGGTGGGTTTTTTTGTTTGTTTGGTTGGTTGGTTGGTTTTGGTTTTGGTTTTGTTTTTTTGGGGGTGGGTGTGTGTTTTTTGTTGTTGTTTTTTTTGTGTGTGTGTTTGTTTGTTTTAATTTAATGCAGTTTGATATTCCTAAACAGAAGGTTTTAAAACTCCAGTTTGCTATTAAATTTTCTGTGCACATCTTCTTACCAGTCTTACCAGTCATGGTCATTCTGTTTTCAAGGAAAACACTTTGTGAAGGACCCTTAAAGGGGTACATGCCACATCCCCTGCATCTGTAACTGTTTTTGACAATATGTCATCCCCTGCCCTTACAGTTCCAAATGGGATGTAATCACCACTAGTAAAATTGACAACAGATCTTCATTCAAAATACAGTAATCTCTTCCTATATCACCACAACACTATATCATCAGTTGATATAATCTTGTATACTGAGTGTCAAAAATATGAAGTGTAATAAAGAGAAGAAAATTGAAAGCTTGCAAATATTTTTATTGTCTTCACCTTTTTTTTTTATTTTAAAACAGTTATTTGCACAGAATTCAATCATTATTCACAAGGATTTTTAAAAATTCTTTCAATATACTCTGCTTGTATTGTGCATGTCTATTTTCTAGTTGAAAATGCATTTAAAAAGTATTTACCTGATGACATTAGTGCTTAACATTTACTTTTTATTTTTGATAAAATAAGCTATGATATCAAACATTTCCTATTTGCTCTCATCTATGAATATTACCAAAGAAGAGATTCAGCTGCCCCAAACCCCAGTCTCTTCTTAAACTGATGCAGAAAACCATGAGGCAAACCCATTAGGTTACTTCCTTGGAGACTGCCATGCTGAGCACAGTGAACTTTCAGACTCTATGCAGAAATGCTTTATTCAGTTGCAGAAGGAGTCATTGTGAGACACTGTGTTCCAGCACCTTCACTATTCCCAGAGTTTCTAAACTTTGTTGCTGGTAAAGGCTGAGTAGTGTAGGTAGAGGATGAAGATTTGTCCCAGATTAAGCTGAAGGTTAGACAATTAACAAAGTGAGGCCCTCAAGCCCTTCACTTCTGCAAGGGGAAAACAGAATCTCAAGAAAAGAGCAGAACGTTCTGCACAAGAAGTGCTGGTCTCCAAGAATCATGTTGGTAATGATCTGGATAAGAAAAGGAACCAGCAATTTGCAGGTGGAGGGCAAATGCAACTTGAATAGCTTGGAGGCTCCTGTCCCAGAACTTCCTGTTTATCATTCAGCATCCCAGTAGAGGAGTCTGGTTAGGTGCTGTTCATGCTGCCTCTGGAATCACACCAAGACCTGTGTTTTAAAATGTCTGTCTTTGCTTTCAGCATGAAGAAGATGAGACATTGGCACAATGGAATACCAAAATAAAGAAGAAAATTTCTATTAATAGATACCAAAACAGGAGAGGAAGGGATTATATACTTGCCATTTAGGTGGTACTCTTTGTCTAGTTGTCCAAAAGGTCTGAAGACACAGCAATACTTGCAAAATAAGTTTTCATCAACAGATGTTATAATTGTGTATTTTACGGAACGTTGTTATGCATTTTCTACTTCAAATCAAATGGACCCCATATCTCTCATTATGAGAATTTATCTCAGTATGTAGGAAAGATATGTAAACAATGAAACCTTAGATAAGTTACTGCCCATGACAATTTCTTCTAGTGTTTTAAAATTCTATCAAGTGACCCCTTCAGTGCTTGCCATCCTATACTACTGCCAGAAGAATGAATTTTGCTGCAAGAGAATTAATGTCATTGCTAGCACTAAGATATTTTGTATGACAGAATGGCTAAAAGTTCAGAATTGAACATGATACACAAACAAAATTTAGTTGATATCTGCCTTACTACTCACTCTAAATTACTAAGATAATTAGAAGAAAAGTAGAGGGGGGGGAGAAGGAGGAGGCAGAGTGAGCTTACACGGGCTTCAAGTCATTATCCCATGAGCAGGTACACAAGTTAAGTTTCTGAGTCACTATTATTTCTTGTTTACTTTTTCTTCCTTCATTCTTTGTCACAGAGAGGGGAAAGTATAGACCTCAGTGTGATTTGGTCCATTCTGAAAAAAACAATAAATTTTCAGAGATCAGAATGAAGAAATCCTAGATCTCCCTCAGATCTCCCTCTGATCCTGGATCTCCCTGATTCTTCAGATCAACCATAAAATGTAGTATGAGGAAAAGAAGGTAGGATGCATAAGAAGGTAGGTGGGATAGGTGGTCACAGTAAAACAAAAAAACTGCAAGAAGTCTGGGTACAGAAAATGACTGCTGTCTAAAAAGAGCATGCAGGTACTAGGAAGAAGTGAATACTATATAAATGATGGCTGTAGGGAGTATGAGTAATTCAAATAAAAGGATAAAACTTTTATTTAAAAGTCTTATAAGAGAGAGAAAACATTCTGATTTCTGAAACACATAAGAGTTTTGCATCTTTTGCACCAAACACAACAGCCAGCTGAGTTCTTTTTGTCATCCAAGACAACTGAAAATGTAATAGAGGGTGCAATCCTGGACTGGAAGAATGCAAACCCAGAGGACCACACAGGTTTTTTTCTATTTGCATTTTTCTGTGAGCCTATAGAAACCTTTTGTAACAGGTTTGGCCTGAGATAGCCAAGTAAAATAAACCTTAATTAAGGTTAAATAGGCCTTTATCCTGAGTTTTATAAATCCACAAATGAAAGATATTTGCTAAAATAATGTAATACAAACTGTGTTCTGTTTAACTTGGCTATCAGGATGATTAATCTTTGATGTTAAACAGCTCTCTCCTGCTCATCATTATTATTTTATGAGGATATCATATTAATTGGTGTTAGTGTATTTGAAGAATCATGAAAATAGACCAAATATATATATAGATATGTATATATATATACACATATATACATACATATACATGTATGCATATGTGTGTATATATATATAGATATGTATATATATATACACATATATACATACATATACATGTATGCATATGTGTGTGTATATATATATATGTATATATGTGTGTGTGTATATATATATATATATATATATATATATATACATGTATTTATTTATTTATTTATTATTTTTTAAGGAAACTACAGATTTTACCAATAGGGAAGGAAATTTAATCCAGGATGATTTAATCCAGAAAGATTTCAGATTTCTGGGTCTGAAACATTTTTTGTTACGTCTTAGCAAGGCAGTTGTGCAAGTAAAACTAGATATTTAAAATAACATTTTCTTTTGTCCTCCAAAGGATAAAAAGGATTACCTATGCAGATTTTTATAGAACAGACATCTTGAGTGTCATTTTCACATTAATGCATTTTCAAATTTATAACAAAGAGGAAAGAATAAACAGTTAAGCCAGGCATTTAACAATACTCTTATACACCTGACGACAATTAAATTCTTTAATTAAAAAGCACAGGAGAATGTACAAAAGCATAACCTTTTCCACAATCACAGCATAGCAGGGAGAGAAAATTTTCTCATTATGTTTATGTACATCAGTTCTTAACAGTTAAGCACAGGTGATTAGGCTGGAATATGTGGTAATACTCTTATCCTATTTAAGTTCCCTCACTTATGTTGTTTAGGGAAAAATAAATTTATTGTATTATTATTACTTATAAGGAATCTAAAAAGAGAATGTTTCAGACAAAAAAAAAATGCAGCCTCCGCCACACAAAATTTGGTATTGAATACAACATGTCTTGGGAGGTGGTTAAATGGGGAGGAAGAGGATTGTGTAGATTAGACAGTGTATTGAATGAGAAAAGAGATCAAGCTGAGGGAACTAGGCTGTCTATGGACAGTGAAAGAAAAAAGAAGAATGAATGGGAAATGTAAGCATGATACACGAAAAGGGCAGCACAGATTCAAAATTAAATGAGAATATATGTGCAGATGGTTTATGAAAGTAAGGAAACCCCTACATATAGGAACTGTAAATGAAACAAGAGCTTGAGTGCAAACACACAAGGCAAAAGGAACTGAGGCAATCAACACTCTGCTCTTCTCATCAGAATGGTAGGAGACACACCATCTATCCATGTGTCTCTAAGAAAGTCTACCACTGGGAAGCATGTGAAGTTCTAGACTTCTGCTTAGCTGCCTGCTGAGCTAGCAGCAGTTTGAATTTTCTTTTGCAGTAAAATGAATTCTTAATATATCATCCAGGTAACAATTTCTACTGCTAGAGGAAGTCTAGCTTGGAAGCATAGCTTACTGCTTGGATAAGCAACTTAGATCCATTGACATAATACAATTAAGCAGAAGCTGTGAAAAGTGTAAGAGAAGCTAGTGATGAGCAGCATACCAGCTATATTTTTCACTTTGCAAATATCACTTTCTTTTATCAGCATGATTAAATGAGATCTTTCACTTAGGTAGCATGATATAAAGATTTTCTCAGTGTTGGTTTAGTATGGCCACATTGGTCACAGAAAGGAAAACTGTCAATGAGTTATTTGAGTTTTACAAAAAAAAAAAAAAAAAAAAAAAAAAAAAAGAGCAATAAGCTTTTACAGAACATTTTGTTACTGCTTCATGCAAGGCAGAAAAAAAAAATCAACACAAATATTTTAGAAAGGCCTTATTTCTTCAGTGTATTCTGTGCTTTCACAATTGAAACCAACTGCCTGTAATTACCATGATTCAGAGATCTCAGAAGGGCAAAGATTATAACTCCTTTTAAAAACAGCAATAACTTTCTTATATATGAGGATATCTACTCCAAAATTTAACCACTCATGCTCTGTACCGAGCCATATGTTCTCCACTTAAAAGTTCCTAGTTCTGATTGCTGCCAAGAATAAATCCACGCTTTCAATTTCCACATGCTTAATTTTTTCTCTTAGACCATTTAGAACTGTAAATGAAAATCTATAACATCATAGTGTGTGGTATTATATGTGGAAAAGACCAAGTCTGTGTAATGTGCTTTGTATATTGATTTTAACAATCCAGATTTCTCTTTTACATTTCTGGGTTTTCTTATTATTTAATGAGTCAAGTGAAAAAAAATAAAACATTTCTTTGGGGGACCTTCTTAAGAGTCTCAATCACTTAAGAGGGGGCCTTCTTAAGAGTCTGAAACATTTCCTTACTTGAAATATATTTACTTTATTTATGGTTATAAATTATATCTATTTATTCAAATTAAGCACAGGCAGAAGTGGAAAAGTTGAATTTACCAGAATTTTGAAAGAGATAAAACACTCCTGCTCTGTTAAAAAATAGTTGGGAAAAAAAAATAAAAAAATTAATCTATTTATTGCTGATTATTTTCCCAATAATTTCTTATAAAAAGGAATGCAGAACATTATAATGATCTCTGATTATTTTATTTTTAAGAGGTTAATTTCTTGTTATACTACATAACTCAGAAGAGGGAGTTATTTCCAAAATATATCCAGAAGAGGGATTTATTTTCTATTGTGACAGCAATTTATTTATTTATTTATTTTCTATAAGTGACAGCAACATGCTTCCAAAAAGTTAATGTAAAAGAATTTATAATTTTCAGCATAAGGATTCATCAAGGAGCTGCTATCACAGTGATTCCTGACTTGGTATTTCCTGATACAAGAAAAATGAAAATGAAAGAAAATATCAAGGGGGGAAAGAGAGAGAAGAAAGGAGGTGAGAAAGAGAGAGAAAGGAAAGAGAAAAAGAGAGAGAAAGAAGGGGAAGGGGAAGGGGAAGGGGAAGGGGAAGGGGAAGGGGAAGGGGAAGGGAAGGGGAAGGGGAAGGGGAAGGGAGGGGAAGGGGAAGGGGAAGGGGAAGGGGAAGGGGAAGGGGAAGAGGGGAAGGGGAAGGGGAAGGGGAAGGGGAAGGGGAAGGGGAAGGGGAAGGGGAAGGGGAAGGGGAAGGGGAAGGGGAAGAAAGAGAGGAGAGAAAGAAAGTCTGCTACATGTTAGTATTTGTCTAGGATCAACAACCTGAGGCTGATAAAATAATGTCATAAATTAATGCATAAATTCCTTCTCAGTCAAAGCATATATGTATGAAGCAGAAGTCTAGCAGAAGGGTTAGCTACCCTTCTAAATGACAGGTATGAAATATGCCTTCTATCAATATATGTGTGCAGAAACTATTTGTTATATCCTGTGATTATTTAAAAAATGTGAACATTTTTTTTTTCCCCAGTCTTCAAACTAGGAAAAAATATTTTCAGATTTTTCCAACTACTAATCTGAAAAAAACTATTTTGATTTGCCAACAAATATCAATTCATTTCATTGATTTCATTGCAACTGAAAGGAAAAAGTTCAACTTCTCTCCAATTCATTGTTCCATGCTGTGGTGTAATTGCCTGAAGTAACTAGGAAAATAAAACTAACATTCACATTTTTAAGGAAAAGGTACAGCATTGAAGAGGCTTTCAGGGCAGGGCATAGCTGCATTATCTGAGAGTTCCCTAGTCTCCCAACCTTAGATGCTATCGCGCTGGGGAAACTTGGTGTGCTAGCTCTAAGGAACAGTATGGAGCGTAGAGTGGAGTGGAGACAGGCTCTGTAATCAGGTGGGGCCTTGATTGTTCTTGTGCACAAAGCCGCACTTTTTGCCACCCTAAGCCAAAGACCTGTCATGTTTTGACAAATGCTGTACCCTAGTGTACTTTTTGCTCATTATAATATCATTATAATACCAAAACACACCTCCATCCCAAAAGCTACCCGCCTCCAAGGTGCGACCACCCCTCACTGAGCATGCGCCCTGATTTTCTCGGAGCCTATTACTTTAAACGGAGACGGGAAAACTTTACACCAATCATAACTAAGATATGCTTGACTAGAGCCACTCAAGCTCCACCTAAAAGATAGA